TGTAGGCCAAGAACTCTCTTCTGGCAGACTATTTCAAGGGGTTCTTACTCTGGAGCATTTGAAAATTCTAGATGTGAAATATCGTTTCAAGTGCTGGTTCCTGTGCAAAGTCCCGCCTCTGCCATACAGACGTACTCTCCCCGAGTAGAGAGGTGGTGGGAGTGGGTGCAGTGGGTCAGCCTCAGGTTGTAAGGAAAAGTGCACAGGCAGAGTTAGGCTCCTCATAATAGACCATTGCTCTGTAGCCCCAGCCTCCACATGCCATCTACTTCTAGGGGTTTCTCTGAGGTGCTGATAAGTTCTCACATGGACCATTGTCGCTAACCCTCAAAGGAGTTGTAGGGCCTGCTGTATCTCCCAGACATTTCCCTTTGGTTGAGCTTCTGACCTCTTCTACCAAGAATCATTTGTGTCTGAATGATGTTCCTTTGATGAGATGATGCCCTACTCTGGAAGTGGTCTATGTGGATGCCCACATCTGGCAAATTTCAGGGTGCTAGTGTGGCCTTGCCAATGCCATACCATGGTGGTCCTGTCAGGGAGGGACTGGGCTGACACCTAGGACATGACAGGGATTAATCATCAGACATCTTGCTGCCCATTCTGTCGCTTTCGCTTTTACTTCTCTATCCTCAAGCCACCTCCAGTCCCCTGAGGACTAGATCCCCCATCCCTCGCTGCAAATCTTTCATGGAAAAATCTTCAGCCCACAGTGCTATAAAAATTCCAAGGCAAAAGGTTGGTTTGAGATCTTGTAAAACATGCAGACAGACACCACACAAAAGAACCTGCTAAATGGGCTTCAGGTGAGAAACTTGTTTCTCTGTGCAATTGAGTTCCCAGTCCGTGCCTGAAAATATGGATTAAATTTCTGTTCTGAGAGATACTCATTTACCCTCGGTTTTGTATCCACAATCTACACTGGTCTTAATTTCCTCTCACTTATGCCCAGGCATTAACTAATACCAACTAACTATAACCCAAACTAATTATTGCTATCTGTACACTTTAAAAAATAACTCCAGCATGGAGCTAAAAGAATAATGGCATATTTACAGAAGGTAGCTAATTAAACTGAGTTCCAATTGCTTTCGCTTTGCCAGAAGGAGCCATTTTCACAGCAAAAATTGGGTGGATGCTTGCATGCTTACCAGAAAAACTCAAGGTAACATAATTTAGGGTTCCCAAGACAAAAATTTAACACAAGACAGATTTACATGAGCAATAAAAATCTCATTAAGGAAGATATGAAGATCATTTTATTGCAGCCCAACAGTTAAAAGGGTATCATTTTGGTGGGTTTATTTAAAGAATAGTATAAATTTCATTGTTTCCTAGTGGAAGTAATTGGAAGGGATTCTTAGACAATCTTATTTTTGGATCTTCAGGTGGTGAAGATATGTCACTTATCTCAGTGTCATAAATTCTAAGTTTTCTAACAGATGTGAATATTGTTGAGCCCTATATTAAAAAGTGCAAAAAGAAAATGAGTACCTATTATTACCCCCAGGGCACCTCTGCTTTTACTTTATTTCAGGTCTTACAGATATCTTGAGCTTTCATGTAAAAGTAAGTATGGATACTTCAGTGATGTGATTTCAGGAGTTTGGCAGAACTCATTAGCCACAGTCAGATGACTGGAGGTCCTTTGGCAAATCTGGGTTGAAAGCATATCTTTAATTTGCCTTCTTTTTTAAACTCACACAAAACTCAAACCATGGCTTCCCAAAACAACGACAAACAATAGCCCACACCCGGACTGAATTCCTTCTCTATAAGACTATGTTTTCCTACTGGAGCTTCGGGAGGGGAGCTCAGGAATATCATGGTGCTGTGGAATATCATGCTGTGAAGCTTTCTACTACTAAAAAAATAACTTCTCAGTTGCAACACTGTTTCTGAATGTCCTGCTGCTTTTTCTTGCTGCCTGCAAGTAATTCCTGAATTTGTTTCTATCTACTGGAAGTAGTGACTTGGCAGGCATTGGCACTTTTTCCATGTTTAATTAATTCCTCTAATTTTGTAGTAAATGAGAATAATGGGGCTTAATTTTACTATTTATGTAAAATTGATTGGTAATTATGGAAAGCACAGGAGATTTGGCTTTACAAACAAAAATTAAGTGACCTCTCCATCATGGGGCCTTGGCATGCTCATTCATTCTTTGCAAAAAAGCAGAAATGGTAACAAAGCAGATGTTGAGGGGAAGGTGACTGGGGTTTTATGACTTTTGTAGAAATTGATATATGGAAGTTTGTGGGGGGTTATTTAAAGCTCAAACCAGAGTCATCTGGAAGAGGTCATGCACCAGACAAACTATTTAACTGGCTTGGTCATCTCATCTTTGCTATGATTTGGTCTCTAAACCCAATATACTCTGATCTGTTGTCTGCTCACAAAAATGGTGTATAGGTGAGGGAGAGGAGGGTCTCTTCCTAAAGTGTTTTAGGTGAAAGAGAGATCTTTTTCTCTTTTGAAATTTTGGATACAGCTCCAGATGATTCTCAGTAAATGATACTTGCAACATAGACAGTGAGACATTCTCTAGGTACAGCGTCTCTATGTATATGGCAGTATCTCTGTGTCTCTCCCTTGCTTCTGCTCTGATTTTGTTTTTTTTTCATCTTTTCATTGAGGAAGTTTAAAAACCTAACCATAGCAATGAAAATTATTATCATCCCAGAGTATCAGGATTTAGGTATAGAATTTGTCATTTAAAGAAGGCCAAGCAAAGAATGTGCTTTTGCTTCTATTTGGTGCCATCACAACTCAGTTCCTTGATGGACAACGCTCAGATTTTGGACTGGGAGCTGTGCAGAAAAAAATGAGGCAACTCATTAACTGGTAGTGGTATGGCATGGACATTCTTGGGTAAAACAGAGGAGATGCTGAATCATGACCAAATCACTGCATAATGAGAAATGCAGAGCTCCACTAGAGCAGGCTCATGTTATTGAGCCACTTAAAGCTACTGAAAATGATTGGCAAAATCTTAGTTCATAAATACTACTCTGCTATTGTAAATCTTTCATTTTGAGAGCTTTGAGAATAATAGTTTACATTTAAATTGTTTGTACTGTGAAAGAAGTAGTATGTTTTTTATCTCAGAATTGTCCTTCATGTGCCTACCTGATACTGCATTAAAATGGAATTGAGAGAAATACCTCATGGTATTTATATTCCCCTTTATTTTATTTCTTCAATAAAGTAATTCACCCTACCTGTGCTTTGGAAGTCAATGAAAAAGTACAGAAAGATTCACATGAAGTCTGCTCCAAGCTGAAAACAAGAGCCGAGTGCCCAAAATACAAACACTGCCAGTGGGATATGCCCTGGTTTGGTGATTCCCAGGCTGTGGTCCATTTAGAATCAGATCACTGGGGGATCAGGTTCAGTATTGTAAATGCTTTAGAATATTCCATCCACTGAGATTTAAGGTAGAAACTGGAGTTAAGACAACAGAGAGACCTAGGGGATCAATTGCAAATATCACTGCATAATGAAAAATGTTTCCTTAATTTTTTTATTGATTCCACACCTGTGGTCTCCCACGATAGTCTTGATAACATTAAAACACAGGGACTTACATTTTTCTCCTGAAAAATAAACTTAAAGTATCCAAGAAAAAACCCCAAATTCACTCTTTCAGTTTTGCTTTCTTTCTTTCAGAAACCTGCTTTATGATAAATCAAATAATTTCTGCTTGTAGAAACTGTTGAATCAGGAGATTTGGGAGGAATATGGGCAGTGGCAGCAAAATGCTTGGTTCTTCTTAAATCATAACATAAAATGAGAAAAACTAGTTAGTAAAAGCAAAATGCATGCTTTTGGAAGACAATGAAGGAACATTATGCAAGATGAAAACATTCTTGAGATTTTCTGTTTAACCTTGTCTTGTGGTTAACAGTGCTATACTGTACACTTAAAGATTTGTTAAGAGGGTTGATCTCCTCATGTTACTCCTTTACCACAGTAATAAAAAATAGTTTTGATTGGGGGAAAAAATGAAGTGGCAAGGCATGCCACAATCCTCAGAATATGAGCAGGTGGCATCATCTGTGTGGGGGAAAAAAAACAGGGAAAAGCAGTGGGCCATCTCGGAGACCTGAGAAGAGAAGAAAGAGTCCCCCAAAGAGCCCACAGTTACTAGCTGAAATGGATAGCAGGATGATTTTTTTTTTGAATGGTAGTTAAAATTGGGAGTGGTTTTGGTGCATCCCATAACAGGAGATCACCTAGTAGGTATGAAGGAGCTGAGCCATATTGTTAGTATGAATTCTTAAAACTGAACCCCAAGGTCCTTCTGGGACAGGACTCTCACCACAGAGGGAGGGATGGACTTAAAATTGAACAGGACAAGATCAGTAGATTAAAAAGAAAGTTTGGATAAAAAGGTAAGAGAGGACCAAACCCAGGAAAACTGTAAAGCGAAGACTACCATATTTTTAATCCTACATTTGACAGTAGTTAGGAGTACTAATTTTTGAATATCAGTTTAACTATGAAGTTAAGAAAAAAACTTCCCTGATTCAAGCTGCCTTCTGAACATTCAATTGAGATTCAAAAAATATCATAAAATTAGAAAAATTCAAATTAGATGAGAGAGTTCATGGAAGAATTAGGAAAAAAGGAAAAAAAAAAGTTATTAGAAATAGTGGCCACGCTAAATAAGAGAAACACAGTAAAAAGAAATCACATGAACACCAAAGATAGAAGTAATCATCTGATATATGAGCAATAGGAATTCCTAAATAAGAAAACTGAAACAAGTGTTCATAACAATTACTAAAAAGAATGATTCAGAACATATTTCTGGAGCTAAAAATATTGAAAGTGCACTTTTAAGTATCAACCAACAGCAAGATATGTTCCACCAGATAGACAATTCCTGTCTGAATTTAACCAAAAAAAAAACCAAAAAAACAAAAAACAATTGGACATGTAAGCAACAGAACACATTATTTCCAAGATAAGAAATAGTGAATTTCATCTTTTTTTTTTTTTTTTTTTGCTGCAAAAAGCTTTATTGTTTTCATTTGGTCCACAACTTGGAAGAGCTCCAGGGAGAGGCTTAGGCAGAAGCCCTTAACACCAGGGGTGCCATTTGGGCCCCTCAAAGGCCGCTGGGCTGTGGAGGAATCTAGTCGTGCTTGAGAGTGAGCCTTTCGAAGAGATACTCGCCCAGCCCAGCCTGGGGGCTGGCCAGCCTGCGGAGGTTAGTCATGTGGTCGCCCATCTTCTTGAGGAGTTTCACCTCTTCATCAAGGAAGTGGCTCTCCAGGAAGTCACAGAGATGAGGATCCGCGCGAGAAGAGCCCAGGGCGTGCAAATGCAGAAGGGCCTGGTTCAGGTTCCTCTCCAGGACCACGGCAGCTTCCATGGCCTCCAGGGTTTTCCCCCACTCATCTTGGGAAGGCTTCTGGACGTCCTGGAAGAGGGCGCGGCCGCCACGCTGGTTTTGCATCTTCAAGAGACGCTCGGCGCCCTCGCGCTTCTCGTCGGCCAACTCGCGGAAAAAGTGGCCCACGCCAGCCAGAGCCACATCGTCGCGCTCGAAATAGAAGCCCAGAGAGAGGTAGGTGTAAGAAGCCCGCAGATGCAGGTTGACCAGGCGGTTAACGGCGGCCTCCACCTCGGTGCAATAATTTTGACGAATCTGGGAGCTCATGGTTGCCGGGCAGTATGGAGGTATGCCCAAACAACGGTTTTCGCTGGTCTCGGAGGGAGAGGGTTGTAGAGAGGGTGGTTCCGTAGGTTGCGACTGGAAAAAAGGTTGGAGGATGGTCGGAGGATAACAGAAGTGCGTCCCCGGGTCTGTTCCGTCCAAACACTGTTGAAGCAAGAGACAGATCCGCGGGACCGCCGAGCTCACTGCCAATTTCATCATTTTTTGACAGCAACATTTTACTCCAGTAGAAAATGGAAGAATGAAGACAGGAGGAGGAAAGAATAAATAGCTACAAAAAAAAAAAAAAAGGACCTTCTAACATAGGGAACATAGATATATGCTAATTGAGGGACCAAAAGTTTATATTTAAAAAAGAATCTACTAGAGAATCCACATCAGATCATTAGAATGACTAGAGAGATCAATATGAAATTGGCAGTGGACATTAATTGAATTATAAATTACATATCTATGCCTAAAAAGGAGAAGCGTATGCTAATTAATAGCTGTATGAGTTGACAGTGCAGACATAATATGACAATAAAAATGGGGGAAAATTGGAAGGCACATGTAAAAATTATTTTAGCTATTTTCAGAAATATTGGTGGTGGTATTATTGTCCTGAGACTCAAGTATGTATGCAGATATACATTAGAAAAATTAAGTAAAACTCTTATAGTCCCACTTTAAACTAAACATAGCATCATAAACTCATGAGGCATTTACTTTCTGAGCATTAATGACATCAAAGAAAAAAACAGAACAAAACATGTCTCTCCTGGGGAAACTATACACTATAGCCACTAGTCTTGCTAAAGGGATGTCACTGATCTGATCAAGTCTCTAGTTTGGCCATCAACTTGTGGCAATTATCAAGCACAGAGGAACATGCTGTGTTACCTCTGTGTGCATGCGCAACTGACAAAACCCTGGGGATGGGAAATTCCACGGGTCAGGGGGTACAGGGTCTTCAGTAGATACATTACTAAGAGAAAGAAATAGGTGGAGGGGAAAATTGAACTAGGAGATTGTCTCAGTCTTGCTTGTATATTGAAAAAGATAATAGAACTGATAAGAGCAGATACCTGATCTTAGCCAAAAAGGTTGAGAAGAATTTAAGAATTTATTTCAACATCTGAAATTATTTAAGATCTTGGTTTCATGATAAAATAGAGAAAGATTTGAAGATTCAAGTCATGACATGATAGAAATAGCTGTTTATTGAAAGGTTATTATGTAACCCATACTGTAATGAGAACTCTGTGTGTGTTATCGGTAATTGTCACTCTGGCTCTGAAATAGGGGTTATTATCCACATTTTACAGTTGGGGAAATGGAGACACTGACAGTTTAAGTAAATTGCACAGAATATTTACATAATATAGAGCTGAAAAAATGGTGTATGGACTCCATAGCTCATAATTTTCAATATCACGTAAAAAATGTATTTAATATGTGTATTAAGAACCCTACATTGTAACGTTAACACTATCATTTAGGCACTTTAAAAGGATATATGTGTTAATATGTATTCTGTCACTGTAGACATAAAATTAAAGAAATGGTGTGGGGTCACTGCTTCTGTATTAACCAAGCAGTATTGGCATTGGAGCATTGGCATATTGAATAGGTTTATATCAGACATTAATTTTTGGCTCACTGAAGAGGTCATATTTCTTGACTCTATGTTTTGGAATTTGTCAACTTCTGCTTCTAAACATTATCAGTTTGCATTGTATCTCATTTTGCATCTGTCATGGATATTTTGTTTAGTTACTTAAAAAATTCTTAGTTTCTGATAGAATCAAAACAAGATTTGATGATGTCCCTGAAGGCAAAGTGTGAAAAATCATTAAATTGTTATCAGTATTCTCTAACTGAGCTCTCGTACTAGGAAGCTAGCTAGCCTTCTTGAAGAAAATAACTGCTCAGTGTATCTGCTTCTCTTCCTAGCATGACCCAAGTATTCCATGCATGGTAAAACAAGGAGCCATCTATTGCATGGCACTGATTTTAGGGAATTTCTTATTTACAATCTATTTCACTTTATACTATCTGTATTCAGATGGGACCATGGGAAACAGCATGATCTTAGAGCATTATGAACCACCCCAGAGGTTTCTGGAGGGGATTGCAATAATAATATTTCAATTTGCTATAAGGTCAAGAGTTTCATCTATAGAACCCTTCTCTTCCTTTCTATTTCCTTTCCTGTCCAACTCATTCTCACTCAGCTTAAAGCCCATCTTGAAATGGTGTTAAATCTAATACCACTCTCAGATTTCATCAATCTTTGAAGTTGGCCAGACCTGCAGAGAGTAAAAAGGCAAGCAAAAATGGGCCTCTATAAATTAGAGATTGGAAAATATCTATTAGAACACCAGATTCTGATAAAATTTCCCCCTCCAATATACAGGGCTTGAAAATTGAACTCGTTTTCTCCTTTGAAATGTCTCAAAGATTTTCAAAATCTCCTTTGTAATATTTCGTGATTCTTTGTAAGTCTGTTGTTCATGCTACCTCAGCTTTTTTATTTTTGATATAAAAACCAAAGTGATAACTTTCACTGCATTACAGATTTACCAGGATTATATGCTTCCCATATTGTTGATTTAATCCCTCTCTTGGGAACATTAGGATCCCACAGAATTGATGTAAATGAATGAGACCCCCTGCCCAGGAATATCGAGCAACACTGAAGAGCATTTCACATTGAAGTTAAGGCATGGTTAAGAAGATAGAGGAAAAAAAAAATATCAGTCATAGGTATGTTTCAGATCCAGAAATGAGGAAGTCAAAGAAAGCCATCTTTTCCCACCTAAAATTTTTTGGGGAAAGAATTTTTTTTTAAGAGATGTTTAAATGATGGATGAGAGACTACTAATTTCACAGAAATTGTGTATTGGTGAGTAAACTAGTTTGAAATCACTTAGGTATTACAAGAAGAGTAGTGTAAAAATACAAAGTCAGATCTATGTTACAAAGGCCCTTTAAATTTGATCACCCACCTATTCTTTAGATAATCCATCTACTCTTTGAAATGCTGATGTGTGCATAGTTATGCTTTTATGTTCAGAGTATTCAATTTTGGTTGATATGGGCAATAATTTTAAGGATGATATAAAATAAGATCCATGGAATCATTGAAAATATAATAAATTTGCACAGTGAAGTGTTTGGGGGATTGATTAGCCCTGTTTTGCATGACTTGGTAAAGGTGATATTTCATTTTTTTTTTCAGACAAATGAATTTTGTTATATCAATTAAATTTTTATGGAAAATGATCATTTCTCTTCTATAAACCTTCAGACTATAATTTTTATAGTGGTCAGGTTGCTCTTATATTTTATTTGAAACTGACTTGGTTTATCTCACTTCTTAGGGAAAACTTAAACAATTCAGTTAGTAATTTATAAAGTCATGTGATCTTCAGTATATACTCATAGTTTTATGTTTCAGTTATTTATGAGCTGTAAGAACAATGGGTACCCCTGAAATTTTTAATCAAAATTTAAAATTTTAGACTGAACATTGGTTGAGAACTGGGGTAAATCACTTAGCATCTACAGGTTTTAGTCTCCCTATCTGTCCAAAATCTAACATACTTTCCACCTAAAAATTATTTTCTCAAATCCTCAGTGGGGGGGGTATTTAATATGTGAGTTCGTAGGGTGATACATGAATGGAAGCATGGTGGATACTTGGTAGGAATGTGAACAGATACCTGTTTGAATATGTGGATGAATACATGGTTGCATAGATGGGATTCGGGATTGGGTGTAAGTGGGAGTCATAGGTTGAAGGATGGTGAAAACCAAGAAAAGGACACAAAAAATAAAATTTTTTATGAAAAAAATGAAATAAATTCAACAGGAAAAAAATGCTGAAATAAAACTAGAGGACCTACCAAAATTCACTTCAATGATTCTTCCCTCTCAAAAGATGCTATAGTGCCCAAGAGACATCAAAATAATTTTAAAAGAATGTATTCACACCAAGTCATATGCTAGGTAATATTTCATATGCTTTCAAGTGTAAGTGGTCTCTGCAGTTTATATGGGTGGTACATCACCAATAGAGCCCCCTCAGTGGTTAAGAGCGCTGCAATTAATAGGAGCAATCCCTCACTGTTTCTTATGACCCAGTCCAGTTCACTGTTGGTCAATCTGATCTGTAAAGGGAGGAACTAAATTCCAGTCTGAGAGCTTCCTCAGTCCATCTAGAGCCCCATGGTATATAAAGCCAACCAGGAGACTTATTGTTGTGTTAATTTGTTTTGTTAGATTAATGATTCTTCTGTTAATATTTAACCTTTTGTCAAATTGTGATGCATAGGGTTATACATCTAGATCAATACAAATGAATAATGGGACAGGCATATTTTTTCATCTAATTTTCTTTTCCCACTAGTATACACCACTGTTTTTTTGGCAATGTGTTTCAAAGATCCATAATTAATTAAACAGAGAATGGCATATCCTTTTACCTTGTGAAATGAAATACCCATGTGCAAACTGAGCCCTTATTCTTCCTGTGAATCAAACTGGGACTGATTTCTATCTTTTCCCTCAATTTTACCCGTCTTTGATCTTTCCTGAGGATTTGGAATAGTGAAGGGCGTCTCTTTGAGGTCTGGATGAGGGGAAGAATAAGGTACTCTTCACAGCGTGCTTATAGAACAAGCGCTAATTATTGTATCTAGATACGCAAATTTGAAAGCATCTATGTGTTTTGGTGATTAACAATATCTGCGATGTTATTGGCAATGGTGCTAAATAAGAAGTGAGACATTATCTGGGAATTCCTTGATCTAAAATTACAAGACTTTTCCCAGATAGTAAAGAATAGTATAAAGTACAGGTCTCCTCAGTGCCATACAATATCACTTTGCCCATTCTTTCATTTCTATATCCATTCTCAATAAAATTTGTCAGGCAAATGAACTTGATAGATACTGAATATAATTTCTCTGCTACATTTTTTGCTGACCTGTTGTTTCTCCCCTCACATACCCCCCTACCCCCCCCCCCTTTTTGTTTCTCCTCTCTTGAGGAGGGACATCATCTTTACCTTGCATTACTAAAATTCGGAGCCTCAGTGTTTCCTCACGTGTTTGTATCTGAAATTGGATGAATAGATAGAGCTCTTGTAGAATAGCAGTGTTTTGCTTTAGTTATTATTTCTTCCAGGACAGGAAGTCCC